CACTGCTCGCACTCTGCTCGCACACTGCTCGCACACTGCTCGCACACTACTCGCACACTGCTCGCACACTGCTCGCACACTGCTCGCACACTGCTCGCTCTCTGCTCGCACACTGCTCGCACACTACTCGCACACTGCTCGCACACTGCTCGCACACTGCTGTCAGCTCGTGGTATCTCACCGCCGACAAAAACTCTGGGAATCTTATTTAAGAAATAAAAATAAAATATCCTTGCGGCATCAGTTCATCTACAAGTGATGAAGTGAATATGAAATAGTATGAGTATAGTGCGGGGGGAGTACTTGAGATGTTGCAGCACGGCGGGCAGCCAGGCGGGGTGTGGGGGGTGCGCGGCGTCCTGCTGGCGGCCCCAGCGCGCCAGCTCGCGCCGCTGCCGCTCGCACACGCCCTCCAGCTGCGTGATGCGCTCGCAGTACCCCTCTGTGTGCAAACACACGACCCACAAAGCTTTATCTCTTATCACACCTCTTTCTTAAACAATATCATTTTCTCTTGTCATCTTGGAGTCTTAAAAACAAAACAATATTAAAATAAAGGCGATTATGTGGCTTTTATTATTCTGGTGGTATATAATGTGTAAAAATGGTGTGTGTTAGGTTGTGTGTGGTTGTATTCGTGATACAACCTGCACATATCTGAGAAGAAATTCAAAGATATGTGTGAAGTCAACTAACCCGCACTTGGCCAGCGTGGTTGACTATGGCCTAGTCACCCCTAACTTAGGGTAGGCTCCGAGCCCCTCGGTGGGGACGTATAGGGAGCTGATGACGATGATGATATAATGAGTCTTAAAATAATAATGGATACCGAATTTATTACCTTGGGCTTGGAAGGGCTTGGAGCCTACCCTATGTCAAGCATGATAAGACGGGATTCAAACCCTGGAGAACCTGTAGAATTATTCTAAAAATGGACATAACAAAAATAGTGTTTACTAAGTAGCAATGATGTATGTCAATAAGTGGGATTTGCTCACCGAGCAGTTCACGGTCATGGTGCGCAGCAGCACCGGCCTGTGCCTCCCACAGCGCTTGCTTCTCCTGCAGCAGTGCCTCCACCTCCGCCTGCTTGCTGGCCACCTCTCTTCTCAGCTGTAAATAGTACTGAATAGTTTGCTATTCATCTTATTCAAATTGAACACTTTGTACTGAAGTGGAACAGCAGATTTCATTTATGGTAAACTTTACATTTTTTAATTGTGAGTAAAGAGCATTCCATCTAGACCTACAAAAAAACAAGTAGTACAGACCCTTGAATTGGTTTGCTTCATTTGTATCAAGTTCTTGGCCATCTCCTGCCTTTTATCCTCCACCTCCGCAAATATTGAGTTACCCTTAGCCGCTGAAATTTTTTCAAATTAATATTTTTATTCAAATCTGTTATAATCAGGTATTGCTGTTCAGCAGCCACATAGTGTGCCGACCGAGTACTAACCATGCGGCTGCGAAGCCTGCGCGTCGAGCTGCTGCAGCGCAGCTCGGGCCTCTGCCAGGTCCGCCAGCGCCGCAGCCTCGCGCTCCGCGGCGGCCTTTAACTCTTCGCGACGAACCTCCGATGTCGCTCTCAGTTCTCCCATTTCTGTCACCAGTTCTTCCACTTTAAGACGCCACGACACAATTTCATTGCGCGCTTCTTCGAGGGCCAACTTTGCAGACGCCGCTTCAGAGGCAGCTGAAGACAATGCGAGGCGAATTTCATCCAACTCTCCCGTATCTCTTTCGGGAGATGCTCTATTGTCTACAGTGGCGTTTGCTTCTTTTAAACGACGAATCTCAGTTTCTAATTCCTTCACTTCTTTCGCATGGCGCTCGGCAGTGTCCGAATGCTCCTCGCGTAAAGTCAGTATCTGTTCTTGCAGCATTGATATACGAGTGCTGAGTTCGGCGCGGCGCTTCTCTTCACCCGCCTGCACGCTCTCCAGCTCGGCGTTCAAGTGACTCTGCACGTCTAAAGCAGTTTGGTAGTTACGTTTGGTTTCGTGAAGTTCCTGTTTAGTCGATTCGTAGTTGCTAGATAGATTATCATATTGTTTTCGAAGCAAGTAATATTTTTCACTGATCTCCCCATCACTCAATTCTTCCATCTCTGTTAAATTAGTTTTGTTACTTACTGTTGAATAATTCATATCTATAGCTGAAGTTTGTAAAATTTAAAACTTGGAAAAATTTACTTTATCCTTTTAGAAGACTTAACTTTTGTAAGTTTTTTACACAGACATTTCCAATCAAATAGTAAATATTCGTTAACTTTCAAAAATTCAAATTATAATTAAAGATCAGACGGATTAGACAAAGAGCAAGAGAATGGTAAATGTCATGTTTTGCTTTTTTTTTAATTTTATGACCTGGTAACATAGGTCAGCATGTTTTGCCTTGTCAACACACGCCACAGAGTAAATTTATGATAAGTGTACGTTTGTTTTACAAGCTTTACAATCACAACGACAAAAAAAAAGAATGACCGCTATGTAGGTGGTGCCAGCGGTAACTTTCCTTCTGCCGTCTATCCTTTTGTTATCACTATAGTGCACTATAACGTTATAACATAATAGTGCACTATAGTGATAACGTTAGGAATTTCATCGATAATTCGTTGAGATTCTTGACAAAAACGATGTATAAAATTTGACAGATGACAGAAGGAAACCTGCAGCTGGCGCCACTTATACTAATAGAGCTTTTCAGTTTTCCTCACCATTGATTTTGACGTTTGACAGCCAGCGAGTTATGACCAGACGCGAGACGCCCAGTTTTTCCTTTGCCTGTTTGACATTTGTTTTTGTTTGACGTTTTACAATTTTTATTTGTGGAGTCACGAAAAACTAGGGTGTTTGTATTAAGTATATTGACCATGTCGTCCCCACCGCCAACAAAACCTCCTCGAGGTGTTAAACAAGGAAAAGAAACGGTAATACTCTAAAAAAATCTTTAGCTACAATCTTTCTAGGATTAGGAAAATAATACATAGTGGGTGTTAAAGGTTTGATATATCACGAATAGAGTCGCTTACCTTTCTTAGTTTTACAAATTACTTATTGATAACTAACACATATCGGCAAATATTGAAGTGCCTTTGCAGAGAGTGGTTAGTGCTTGTCTTCCACCAGCGTTGTTGTAAAATTATATTAGCGTTTTGAAAAATAACTAGTAACAAACATGAAAATGAAAAATGATTTATTGCTTAAACAAAAATGGTACATACTAACATTTGTGCCGGGACTTGCATTTAAGCATCCATAACGGGCTTGTGATTGGAAGTCCCGCTCTTCCGTGTCACATAAACAGTATCAATAGTACCTTCTTAAACTATATATTATATAAAAACAAATTATTCTTTTTAACAAACAAAACAAAATACAAAGAGTTAACTAAAAAGTAAAAATAAAAATGATAATAAACTAATTATTAATTACTAAATTAAAAAGTAAGAATGAGCAGAAATTATAGAAAATATCAGAAAAACACATTTGTGTAATTTAATGTGTGTGCAATACAGGTCTATTGATTGTATGAATGTGTGTGTGTGTGTGTGTATGTATGAGCGTGTGTGTATATGAGTGCATGTGTGTAAGTACAGTTGAATTTATATAATTATCTTTCATATACGTGGTATAGTTTGAATTAATGTTTCAGTCATCAACCAGTCAGTTACAGTATTTTTTCATTATATAAATAAGCTATATGATATCTGGTATACTTTTACTAGTATACAATTTTATAGAACATATATTGTACTATTTCAGAGTGGACTGCTTATGTCAGTGATTCGTACATTGTCAGCGAGTGAGACAAATGAGCAGAGAGAAAAGGAGAGAGCCAAGTTGGAGAAGGAATACAAAAAGAGTGATGCAAGACTGGATGAGCTGGTTGCAGCTCACTCACAAGAAATAACTCAAGTTATACAGGTGCAAATGTCATCACAACTCTCCATATTACCATAGGCACCACGGCAATTCTAAATTGTCTTACAAAGTTTACCCTTTTAAAAAACTGGTAAAGCGCGAGTCAGACTTGTTCCTCAATGGTTTGTATGGAACAAATCTGTAGATATGTATGTAAAAGTAAAACTTCACCGATCACAACGATCAAGTCAACAATTTAAAAAATAACAGCAGTAACTAAAATTTATGGTTTTCGGAATTCTTTTGATTGCATTGACATAGAAGTTTAATTTGTTACTCCTTAAAGTCGTGTTGGACCTGAGTATTTGATATGGATTTCATTTCAATAACTCTACACGTTCATGAGGAAAGGGGTACTAAGTTTAAAATATTTTAAAATAGTATGATGCAACTAAAAATTTATGGTTTTCGCCATTTTTCCTATGTCTGTGCTATACGACGTTGCTCCGTGCCAAATTCCTTTGCGAGTGTGCGTGTGAGTGTGCGTTTGAATGATAAGAGAGAAGGTTGCAGAAGTTCAGCAGCGTGTGCGGCGCGCTGGGCGGGTGGGGCGCGCACGGCGCGGCGGCGGTGGCGCGGCTGGCGGCGTGCCGCGCGCTGCTGCGTCTGCGCCGCGAGGACCTGCGCCGGCTGTGGGCGGACGCGCGCGCGCACCACCACGCGCTGCAGATGCTGGCCGACATGTAACTAACTCGCACTCGAGTGAGCGAGGTGGTGAGGTGTGCTGGAGTGTCGTGTGTGACGTGTGCGACGTGTGCGTGTTGCAGCGAGCGCGTGGTGGTGTCGGAGCGGGCGTGCCGCGACCTGGCGGCGGCGGGGCGCGTGCTGGCCGCGGCGCACGCGCTGCACGCCGCGCGCCACACGCAGCGCGAGCGTCTGCCGCACGTGCAGGCCCTGGCCGCCACCGCGCACGACCTGCAGGTTCCCCGCGCCCGCATCTACACCTCCTACACCTCCTGCACCTCCTTATCGTCGCCCTCGCTTGGATTCGAACTACGCGTTCGTAGCCGCAGCTCCTTTTTTTATTCGAATCCTCGAGAGCGTCCGCTCCGAATGTAAAGTATTCGCTTTATTCGACTCCGCGACCGAGCGGCGCGGTGTCCACTTCGGGCGATCGGTGATTTCCGACACCGCAATTCCCTGAACAAAACATATTGTTATCTGTTTTTTTTACTGTTAATGAGAGGGATGACTACATTTCTAAGAGGGGTGTGAGGGATGTGAAAGCAAGGATAAGACAGGCAAGTGACTCGCGGCCGCCGCCACCCGCAGGGCATGCAGCGCGATCTGGTGGAGCAGGTGGTGCGCCGGCTGAGCGACGCCGTGTACCGCGGGGAGCGCGCCCCGCTCGCCCGCCGCCCCTCCGCGCGCCGCCGCACTGCGCTGCTGCTCGCCGGTGTGTGCCCCCCGCCCACACACACCCCACACACACCCCACACACCCCCCACTCACCACCCTGTCTCCCCGTGCAGAGCTGACCAAGAGCGAGGAGGCGACGGCGGCGTACCTGGAGGAGGTGACGCCGGAGTACGAGGCGGCGCTGGGGGAGGAGGACCGCACCTTCGAGACGACGGTGGTGGTGGCGCTCGAGGCGCTGGCCGTGCTCGGCGAGCTGCAGGACGCCACAGAGGTGCGCCCGCCGCCCCCAACACACGACCTCTGCCGGCGAGTGTAACTCACGTCTCGCAACACGCTCGCCTTGCAGAAGTTTAAGGTGCAGATCCAGGCGGAGCTGCTCGAGGTGATCGAGGCGGTGTCGCGGCGCGTGCTGGAGGAGGGCGAGGGCGAGGCGGAGGGCGAGAGCGAGGCGGGTGCGGAGGGCGAGCCGGAGGGCGAGGGCGAGGTCGAGGCGGAGGACGAGCTCGAGGGCGGGGAGGCGGGGCGCACCCTGGCGCGCCTGCTCGCCCGCCTCACCGAGGAGTTCCGAGACTGCGGCGCCAGGAACGAGAGGCGAGCACCACCTCCGGCATCTCGTGCGGGAGACGCGCTCGCGGACAGGTGTAGAGTGTGTCTCTCGTGCGCAGGCTGGTGCAGCTGTGGCGCGCGGCGCT